GTGGCACAAGCCTGTCCCCTTCTTGCCTGCCCCACAGCGTACGCACGTCTCCTCCCACCTCCCCACGTGGCACAGGCACATCCCTTCGCGTGTCCCATCATGTCTCACCGACGATGCACCCGTGTCCTGCATGTCTCCCCTCCCCAGGGAGGATGCTCCCATCTACCTCCCTCATATAATTTGTCCCTTTGTTTCACTTTTTCTGGAATTTAGGCTTTTTCTGGCACCGGTTCCTCGCGCTCCCAGATTAGGAGACTGATGGGGAGATGGTTCACCACCACTGTCCTTCTCATCTCCTAAAAGCCTTAATGGCCAGCAAATGCTTTTTCTTGTGCCAGTCCCACCAAGCATGGACTTGAGGTGAAGGACTTGGGCATCCTCGGGCACAGATTCCTCACCAGGCCCCCTCAGACCCTCTTTCCCCCCCAAGACATGTAGGGTTTAGCAGCCCGTGCCAGGCACTGAGAACACCGTGGGGTCGCCTGCATGTGGCAGTGTCTCCCCAACACTGGGAACACACAGCGATTGCCAATGCCATTGGTTATCATCAGGCAGCAACTACAGCTGCTGGGAAATGCCACCTCCTATGGCTGGCTGCACCTCCTATGGCGGGCTGGCAGGCTTCCGGCACGCTGGCATGCCTGGATTTGTAACGTCTTTCTTGGCTCCCTGGTTAGCCTTTAAGAAATGATTCAGGAGGAATGATTTCACTAGGAGAGGTGACTGGGGGGTGGGATGCGTTGGCCACGTCCCAGCACCTGCGCAGGGGTCACACCACCCCTCCATCCAAATCCAAATCCAAATCCAAATCCAACAGCATCAGGGCAGATACAGGAGTAATGAACCACATCCCCCAGTGGGAAGAAACAGCATCGTCCTGCTGGAGACCCTCACCCGGCACCTTTTGTGTGATCCAGAAAAATTCCTCTTCCATCATCTCCGCAAAGACCCTCAAACTCTGCAGGAACATCCTGGCTCCTGGGCAAACCTCTGCACTGTCGCCGACCCGTGGTGCTGGCTCCCTGCAAATGTCTTTTTTGCTGTTTCCTTGTTTTGCTGTAACAGGTTTGGTGAGTCCCCTCCCTCGTTAGCAGTGGGAGCAGCCAGTTCCTGGAGCCAGGCAAGAAATTGCCGCCTGGGCGTGTTGCATGGCCTTGCACAATTCCCGGGGTTATTGCCCCAAGGGAAATTTGAGGGTGTCACAAATTGTAGCTCGAGGAGAATGTAAGAAAGACCTCTCCTCCACCGCGCCGTCACCGCTCCTCTCCTCCCGTGCAAAGCTGTCTGCAGAAGTCAGCCCCAGCACTGCTCGTAGGTGAGTAGGTCCATGCCAAACGGTGGCTTCAGGCTTCATGGTGGAGGTGCCACTGGAATGAGCTTGACCCCGCTGGGCAGCCAGAGCCTGGCTGGGTTCCTGGAAGAGAAAGCAGTCCTTCTCCTCCCATGGGGCTTGACGTTATGCTGCCTGTCCGTTCCTTAGCAAGATGAAAACCAACCTGGAGCTCACCTTGGAGCCAGGTGGGCCGTGAAGTGTCCCATAGATGACTACCTGAACAAGATTGAGTTCTGGAAGCTGTCAAAGGAGACCACCAAGCCCCCTACAGCACCCTGATGGTAAGAGCCAAGTGTGGCACAGCTCTCCTAATGCTTGCAAGAGCTCACAGGAGTGGTGGCCTCCTTAGGGCATGGGGTGGCTGAGAGAGTCCCAAAGGAGAGGGAGGGTTTTTCTAGGGTTTTCTTGAAACCATGCAGTCCTTTCTGGGTGAGCCTCGAGCCATAGCTGCAGGCTGGCAGGGGGACCCTGAACCCCGCCGTGCTTCAGGTTGACTTTTCAACATTTGTCCTGTTGCAGCTAAGACATCCATCGATGTCTGCACAAGGAAGCTCTTCACCAGAGCAGACTGCGACCACGACGGTTGTCTGAAGTTCACCGAGTTCCTGACCACGCTGAGTCTTGTAGCCATTGATGCCCACAATAGGTCCCACCGGTGTCGCAGGAGCCTGAACCCCGCTGTGCTTCAGGTTGACTTTTCAACATTTGTCCTGTTGCAGCTAAGACATCCATCGATGTCTGCACAAGGAAGCTCTTCACCAGAGCAGACTGCGACCACGACGGTTGTCTGAAGTTCACCGAGTTCCTGACCACGCTGAGTCTTGTAGCCATTGATGCCCACAATAGGTCCCACCGGTGTCGCAGGAGCCACGACCAGCATCCAGATGCTGGTCAAGGCCAGGAACACGGCCACGGCCATGACTACGGCCACGGTCTCTGCAAGTGAGGCAGTTCCTAGGATGACAGCTCCCATGGGATTGTGCTCTTCCAGCAGCATTATCCCTTCTGTTTGTCTGCAAGCACAGACACATTTGTCACCAAAGCTTTGTCATCTGCTGTGACATTGAAGTGAGATTTCTTTCTTCAAGCACCAAACACATCTGTACTATGTGTCCTACTGTCTCCAGGGAGGACATAATACACACCCAGCCCGTGGCTGTGGTGGGGTTAAATACAGATTGAACTGGAGAAGAAATGGGAAAGGGAAGGTGGCACTGGGGGGGATCCTGCGGAGCAGGGAGCCAGGACAACAGTGCTGCGGGTCCCAGCTGTCTGGGCTCCCCGTCCTGAAGCGTGCCAGACCTCGACACCCTCCCACTGCCTTCCCAAGGCTTAGCAGGTTCCCTGCAGGGGGTCCTTGGCCCCAGCAGACAATGGGGAGGTTCCTGGGCGGAGGCAGCTGGTGGCTGAACAACAATGTCCTCAGCCCAGGTTCTCCCAGTCCCTCTTTGCACCAGCTCTGGGACACACTGAGGTGAAGCACAACTGGGGGCTGCTCAGCTGGCCACCAAGATCCAGCTCTGGAGTCTTTGCAACCCACAAAGCAAACAGAGCTTATCTTGCAAGCCCTGACACATCAAAGAACAAGGCCAGAGAGCTGGTGTTTACTGTGCACAATAAAGTTGGGTGTTTTTGTTCGGGTAGGGCAACACCCTCCCAGGTCACAGCACATTTACAAGCCACCCTGGGCTCCTGAGGAGCAGAGACACAAGTGGAAAAGAGCTCCTGTATCTGCCACTGACTGTGCACCGGGTGGGAAACCCTCAAGGTCAGGAGTCTCCAACATTTCCAACATCAGCTGGAACCAGAAGCCTGTCCCATGTGGAACAGATCCACGAGAGGAAGCGCAGGGCTGTTGTGTAGATTATTTGAACTCGACGACACAAGTTGATCACTCTCTGGTTCCCCAATTTTGCCATTGGGGAGCAGCCCTTGTTCCGCAGAGCTGGACATTATTCACTGTCCTGCTGGGGCAGCTGAGTGTCACTTGGGCATTGCTTCC